GGAAGGTTCAGGTTGAACATCAGGAGGAATTCCTTAATGGAACATTAGAATAGACTGCCCAGGGAGATGGTGGAGCCACCAGCCCTGGAAGTGTTGAGGAAATGACTGGACATGGCACTCAGTGCCATGGTCTTGTTGACAAGGTCATGATCAAAGATTGGACACAATGAACTCAGAGGTCTTTTCCAACCTAAATGGTTCTGTCATTCACTGCTGACGCCATTCCAGTTTCCTTTTATTTTAACTACATTTTATTTTAGCTACATTTTAACTCTTAGTGAATCTCTCTCCCTTTTTTTTTTTTTTTGTAAGCATCATTCCTTTATTTCCCAAATTAAATATTTTATGATAGTGTATTGAGAAGCTGTAATAATGCCAGGTATTGGGGCCAAGGTAAATGCAATCAACTTAGACCCTAAAAATTATTGATGAAAATTATACTTGAAGTCTACTATGTTCTTCTACAATGTGTCTAAATGCATAGCCTTAAAATTGTCTCTTGCTTGAGTAAGCTGGTAATGGCCCTTTCTTTGAAAGGAAATAATAGTACACAATTTTCTCACGTGTGTTTTTTCCCTTCAGTAAGTACCAATAAGTAGCCTAGCAATGGATGGCTGAACCTTTTTTTTCCTTTCCAAGGCAATTTGCAGAGAATTCAGAGACATCAGATAGAGCTGAGGATAATTCTTTATCTACACAAGTCTGTCATTTTAGGATTTTGTTTTAGTTGCCACTGTTTTTGACTTTGCTATTCACCTCGCTAAATCTGTGTGGATGTGAGATATACTGATTTCCAGTGGCTCAAAAAACATTTAGAAAGCTTGTAGTATTTACAAAGGACTTCTGGGCACTTCAGAAAATTTTTATGGCATTGACCAGCTCCTGCAGATTTGAATGGTAAACTTTCTGGAAGTACTTGCTTAGTGTTTGTGAACAGCCATGGTCTGTTTTGTTTGCAATTTGCTTTTCCTAAGATAAGAATTTTCAGCAGCAGCCAGGGCAATCGGTGTTTTCAGAAACACTTTGGTTTGTTTACGTGTACCATGTGAATGCAGAAGACTCTTCTCAGCTCACAGCCACCACAGACTTCTGAGGCTGGGGAAGCAGAGCAAGGAAGTTCATTACAAGGCAGTGTGTTGGTTGTAACGTGTCTGTAGCAACTTCAGCTAGGAAGCAGCTGGTAAAGCTGTCTTACCATGCACTCTTGACTGGAGTCCCATCTGAACAGAGTGTTTTACTTTATCTCTCCCTTGAGAACTCTCCTGCCATTGAGGAGAACTCTCCTCCCCATCATACAAAGGGGGAGAATGGCAGCCTTGCAAAGAGAAAATTACTGCAATGGAACTTCCATCTATTTTAAAAAACAAAACCGTGATAAATATTTGTACTTCTTATAAAATGGTTGAAACTATGATTCCATCAGGATGCTCTAGTAAGTACAATTCCACAACAATTAAAGGTTTCCTTTTTCTGCTGTTGATAATGCTCTGGCATGGGAACAGGATGATTTGGCTCAGGCTTTCCAGCAGTCAGCTAAGGATAGGAAGAAGTATGGATTAATAAAATTAAAACGGAAAAAATCTCGACGTTGTTAATTCAGTGTGATACATTTCATGGCCTGAAGGGGTTAATGGAAGGCATGGAGCTGCCAGGCAATTGTTTCTGCAGCCAGGTAGCAGCCACCAGTGACAGATGTGCAAAGCCAAGGTGCACACTTCTGTACTTTGGCAATGCCCAAACTGTTTGTGTGTTGTCTTATTTTGTTTTGCACTCTCCTGCTCAGCTGCCCAATTGAGCTGCTGGGTAGAGTCACTTTTGCAATTGCCTCAATGTCCTTATCCCACTGCCAAAGGTACTTCATCACCAGGTATGCACTGATTTTGATGGGATTTAGCTGCAGTGTTGCTCCTAAGAGCTGCTTTTACTCACTGCCTGAATTCATTCATGAATTTCCTGAATTCTTTCTTCAGGAAAGAAAATGGTTTCTTTCCTGCTTGCTGTTATTATCGCAGAGAAAAAAATAATTTAACAACATCAACCCAGATGTAAGGACAGCCAGCAATAGCCACGAGACAGACCCAGGCAGGCCTGGGTTAGCAGGGGAGCTTGGCATGAGCTGTGCTGGCTCTGCAGCTAGAAATGGCATGTGAGGAAAACCAGCTGCTGGTCTCAGTGTGGATCCCAAGCATTTGAGGGGCTGGGTTCAGCTGAAACTTGCTTGGTATAGGTGAGGAAATGATAACACAAACTCTGGAGTAAATTGGATGGGCTTGTCAGAGCCAGAGCAGGCAAAGTGTTGCCATGGTTATTGAGCCAGCCAAAGAAAGAGAACACTGTTCACTCTGAAGTACAAAGGCTCAAGATGGCTTTGTGGTCCCTCACAAGGGCTGTGGGCAGAGATGAGTGTTCAGATTTGCTGCCTGCTGGCATTAGGGAATGCAAATCCAAACATGAAGATGGAAGCAGAGGGGTGACAAATGCCTCAGGAACCACCTATCCTGGGTGATGCCTAAAAAGTTCTCCTGGGATTTCAGGCTGGTTGTTTCCTATTCTGCATAATGGGTAGCCTGACTGGTTTTATTGATCCTCACTTATTTTTCAGTGGTTTGCATTGTGAGTCCAGCCAGCTCAAGAACAGTCACAAGCCCATAAATAAGCTTCAGTGATTGATACAAAACTACCTTCACAGTGCACAATCTGCATTTTAGTTTTTAAAAATAGACAAAGTCAACTCTAATTAGTTTGAAGACATCTGAAGAAAGATTGGAGTGGATAGTTAAACAGTATAGAAAGGGGAGTATACATTTATTATAATTTTCAAGTGTTCCTTTTCCCCCATGTTTTAAAAAAGAAAATGAGAATTAGTTTCAATGCTATTTCTATTAGGGAAATTACTCTTCCAATTGTTACTCATACATATGTGATGTTAATCAGAATTCTTACTTTACCCCAATGAATCTGTTGCTTTGTGAGAGGAGGAAAAAAAAAGGGGGTGAGAAAAGAGGAAAGAAAACCAGTACAATGACACAGAAATTACTTGACTGCTGGGGGAATACAGTGCCTGTGAAGATGAGGAGCCAGCTTGAAGGATTTAGAGGGAAGGGCTGCAAGGGCAAAGAAAGTCCCATTAAAACAGAGATGCAGACTCTGGTGGGTCATTTTAATTTCATCTTGAGAGTAATTTTCATGCCATTTAGCCATAACCACAGCAGGAATGAAGAGGACTAAGCACATTAAAATGACAGTGTCGTACAAGGAGAGAGTGTGGCTTGTGTTCATTATGTTTGATAACATTCAGTGATACAGTAGGCTGAGTTAATGCCATATCAAAGATTTGAGTATTTACAGAAAATTGTGGTATGCAACAGGAGGAAAAGTCTGTAGCACACTCATTCAGTGTCCATGGTACATTAGGAACTCATTAATTACAGAGAAGAAAGGATTTCTGGTCACAAAAAAACCTAAAAAAAAAAAAAAAAAGTGGGCTGGGATTGAAAACTCTCCTGAATTCTTAACTGCTGTCCTTAACCACAAGCCATGATAAGATGCCCCCTGAAGTTGGAGGGAAGCTCTTGAGAGCTGCACATTTCTGCACTTCAGGGAGCCAGCACCCAGAGGCACACACCCATGGACACCCTCCAGCACCTCTGCTTCTGGGGGGGAATGCTCATTTCTCTTTGGAACAACAGAATGTACACTTATGCATCTGAGGGAAGATATTGTGGATTGTCTTCTCCACATATGGCATGGCAAGGATTCAGTCATTCATTCATCTTAAGATCTTGTAAGGTACATTAAGTAATACTAAGAGGAGAGCTGAAAATGCCCATGTGTTTTCAAGTAAAGTTCCTGATGGTGGGAAACAAAATAATTCAGGGAGCACCAAAACATTCTGTGCTTCAATAGATTGGCACAGATCATAGTTGGATATTTCTAGCTTTTAAGAAAAGGGAGTGAGACAAACACAGAGACACAGAAAAACCTGGTCAGCAGCCTGGGACTTTGCAAAGCATAAGAACAAAAACTTGAGCGTTTGTTTTTGCAAGCAGTCAGGCATCAATTAAAAATGTTTCTTTATTGGATTGGTGCTTGAAAAATCACAGGCAGACTGAAGTCAAGCTCATCTTGCCTCAGTAGTTAGTGAATATAATGCAGAAACAAACATTATCATGGATTTATAGAATTCAAACTCAGAAAATACTTTGGTTATATAATTTAATCTTGTGCACTTTATAGGTCAAATGCTAAAATCTGTGTGAAGCCAATATGACAATGTTTGCTTAAAACATGTCACCCAAGCAAAATCCAGCTGAGGATTAAATATTTCAAGCAGCAGAGAGAATCCACCAAATCCATTATGGTGTTTATCCTATCACTAATTTAAATGCTACAAATACTGTATTTCTAATCTGAGTGTATTCCACTTGGGGTTTTTTGCTGCCAGATTTAAAAAACCTAGTTTATCATCATACTGGTTACATAAAGAAATCATGAATCAATTGAATACTGCCATATCAAAGTATGCAGTGAAGAATGGAAGGCAAAATGAAAAAGAAATATATTTTTTTCCAAACAGAATATATAGACACAATTCTCAATTGATGCAATGAGCTGAGTAGTAATCCAGCCTCTGAGTCATCAAAATCTATCCATCACTTTTGATTTGCAGTCAGGGTGTAAAGCAATGATCAAACTGAGCTTTCTCTTGAGAAGTGATTCTCAGCAATCTCATGTAAGCATGTCCATGCAATGTTACAGCAGAACAGCATCAGATTTGTGCTTCCCAGTCATATTGATATGAGGAAGATGCTTTGTTTTCCCCCATCTCCAACCTGTGGACTCCTTGGGGTTGGGCATGTGGCTACAACCAAAGAACATCTCGGAGGATCAGCCATTACATTGGGAAGCTCAGCGCCCTTAAAGAAGCAAAGAATTCAAATGCAAAGCTAAATTCACCTGCAGGTTGCTTCATCTGACTAACAGCTCACTCTTAGCACTGATTAGGTACGATACAACAAGTAACCACTGAATGTAGTTACAGGTGGGTACTTGGCTGGTATAGAGCCAGTTGCCAGTCTGAGCCAGACTTCCTGACCGTAATTTAACTCTAATAAAGCATTTCCAGTAATGACTCTGTCAAAGGTGTACTTGCTGTTATTCATATTTTCAGCCTGAAAGGTGAGTTTGTCTACCCCATCAATGACCAGATAGCCAGAGGCACGTGGGCTGAAGGATTCAATGGTCCATTCAAAAACATAGACCCCCAGGTATGGAACATGGAACTTCCCAGTTGCTGGGGCAAACGAGGCGCCGTAGTTGACATCCAGATTGTTAAATCTGATGGGTCCTGGAGTTGTCATTCCATATGTATGAGAAGCAAAAAAAGCCACCATAGGTGCATATCTGTATGATCCTTTTGAAAAATCTGGAAAGGAATAAAGAAAAATTTGAAGTGATGTTACATTGTAGAAAGGCAACTTGGACCAGCCAGAAGACCAAATGCAGATTTTCTGATGTCACATCATCCTGTGCATGACTGAACTTGAGCAACTGAAACACAGTATTCCTGCATAAACACATCCTACTATATTACATAAGAACTAATTTTCTTCAGAATTAGTGACAGGTGTATCCCCCAGAGAAAAATTTAGCAACAGCAAGGGAACTTGATGTTTGTCTATACTATGTTATCATTAAGGAAGCTTTCTTTCCACCTTACACACCCTGCTAGTTTCCCCACTCCAGGATCTCTTCCATTGCTCATGTGAGTGAGCTGAAGCCAAGAATTGCAGCAGAAATCTTAGACAAACAGCAAGGAGGTTTAGCATTCATGATGTTAAATGAGGGAATAAAAGTATATGGTTTCTCTTCAAGCTGAGCCTGTACACTATCATTCCCTGCTTCTGGACAAATGATTTCATTCAGTATTCATATGCTGTCATGAGTAAAAATTGGCCAAATGGCTGCTGAAAGATGCATAAAATTCACATTTCATGTGGCCTGGGTGTAAATTATTTATTGTATTTATTATACTGAATGAGCATAATTTTCACTTTTTTTTTTTTTTGTTTTGTAATCTTTCAAGGGGCTGCATCCTTTGCTGATGAAAGCCAGAGGCAGGCCTAAAATGACTCCTTGAGGGCACAGTCCCACACCTTCTGGTAGCTATTGGTATTTAGAGAACATTGAAGATAGTATTTCCCAGTGATGCATTTTTACCTCCCCCTTCAAAATCCATAACATCGCATTCAAATGCATCTACTGCACACCCTCCCACTCTGCACATTTCACCAGGGAGCTTTCCAGCTATTATCACAGGTCCCAAACCAATTTAATCCCATCATCTGGTCATATTAGGAAAAGAGATCATGAGCCACCCGTGGGGATTGATGTCTTGAGCACCAAAACACAGGACTCTGCTGCTTGAGTTGTCACTTGTTAAAGCAAAACGTGAGACCTCTGACCAGCAAATGCTCTGTAATTAGGCCCTGGGGCAGAGCCTGCACTGATCCTGGATTGCACTGCTAAATTCTGTACTTGCCAACACTCAGGGAATTGTCCTTCACCAGCTTGACGCTGCAGTTGACTCCTCCAAAGGGGTGGCGACAGGCGCAGACAAAGCTCTGTCTGTCATTGACACAGGTGCCTCCGTTCTGGCACGGGGAGCTGGCACACGCTGAGAGCTGCCCTGGGAAAGAGAGGAGCAAACCCAACAGCCTCAGCTGTAATGTCACAGCAGGGACACTTCCCAAGTAGGCAGTATTTTGGAAAGGCTCTTTGTCAATTCACAATTTCTGCTGAAGTTCTTGCTGAAGGCCAACTTTAGTTCCTGGCCAGCCTCCCTTTCCACCTGAACACAGCCCACCTGCAGCTATCCTCCAAGATATTCAAGATTACCTGTAAATTCTGAGCTCTGCTGGTCTCAGAGGGTCAGGCACATGCAGTAAGGAAGAAGAACCTCCAAAGAAGTTAGATCAGCTGCTCTTTCTGGACTGAGCCATGTTATCCTTGGGTGTACCAGAAGAGATTCTGTACTGCTGCTGTACAGGTGGGACTGTCTTGTCTAGGACATTTTTCACCCAGGCACATGACAAACAATGCAGGAGAGCCGGGCTCCTGGTGATGCAATGTCCTAAATGCTGTCCCAGCCATTTCAAGTACTTGTCCATAAGTCCCTAATTCCAGTGTACCTATCAAGGTTGTTGTAGAAGTTTTGGACTGCAAGCAAGAAAAATGATACCAAACAGGTGGCTTTGCAGAGCACCCTCACTGAGGATGTCCTTGCCTCTGTTGCCACTTAGGGATGAGCTGGCCAAATTCAACTCAGCCAATACAGAGAAATCTGTCAGGCCAGTGCTGCTGAGCTCTGAGACAGCAATTACTGAGTGACAATGAATAATGTCTTGTCATAGCAGTGTTTTGGGGGGAGAAAATTCAGGTCACATGAAAACAATAAATTTTGCTATGAACACAAACCACACATTTTTGCTTTCTCCTGGTTTGGTGAAGTAAAAGTCAGATAGTTTAGAAAACAACCCTTGTCTTTGCCAGGAGCTACCAGCAGAACTCTGGAAAGAGAACTCCACACAGTCCTGTTATGGTAAATCTAGGTTGGTAGGTCAGAACTGAACAAGTCTTGCAGACAAGTACCTAGCTATTGCCAGGAAACTGCTGACCTGGATTTCACATCGATATTTCAGTCATTCCAGTGTTATCCTCATTTTCCCAACCAGGTATTTCACAGACTGCTGCAAAAAGGCAAACTGTTTCTGTGAGATATTTTAGTTCAGTGAGCAGAATGCTGAGGCACATTGTACAGTGACACTTGAATTTGCTCTGATATAGCATATGGATTTATAAACACAACAGTCATTCTTTTCACAGAAAATAATGTCCATTCTGTAATGCCTGAAATAAAGCAATTTAGAACTGTCATGACTGGGTCACAGCACAGGCAACTGGACATGAGAAAATAATGGTTTGCTTCTCAGATAATTGTTTGCTACATCCTTCATTCCAGTTATTTTTCACTCACATTTACCAAGCACCCACAACATTTCTCTGATATTTACCAAGCATTCACATATTTACCAAGTGCCAAAGGAAAGCAGAAAAGGAAGGAAAACAGCTGATTGTGCTGACTGTATCATACTCCCAAAATACAAAAGCTTCCTGTAAGAACACAGCAGCCTCTCTGCTAATTGGCCTCTACTTATCATAATCAAGAAGTAAACCTAGGAAACAGGAAAAAGATCACTAAGAGGAAATGATAATGATATTGAGTGGCATTTTGGAAGTCTGCTGTGGGGTGATTCTGCCTGAACTTAACCTTGGAGTTAATTCAAATTCAGACATAATCTACATTAAATTAACCCTCCCTGTGAAAGACTGCTTAACAGCAACTGGGAAGCTCCTCCTTTTTTTTAGAATAGGAGAAATTGTGTGGGATTTGAGTCAAATTAGGATTTTCAGAGCAAGAGGCAAATTCTGCAGATCTCCACTGTGCCAATAATCTTCATGTAACTATGCTGCAATGGCATCTTCCTGCTGTCATTCCTGGCTGAGGCTGCTCCTCTGCCCAGGATTTTCTCTTTTCTTGCTGAAGAGTGTCCTGAGACACTCTGTCTGAATTATCTCCTTGGGGCAAAGATACCAGAGGGTTCAGATTAGGAATACATCTCCTACTAAAACAAATATTTTATTGTTGATTCACGTTTCACAACTCAGTAGTGCAGATGAGTAAAACAGAGAGACTATAAATTCAAGGCTTAAATTGTCACTATTACTAGCAGAGGATAAAATGTAGTTGCTAATTACACTTGGTATGGTAGTAATGAGAAGAGGCAGTGAATGCTCAGTTTTGCTACTCTTTGGGAAGGCAGGCAGAAGCTCTTGTGGGAAATAGACTGCCAATGCTGTGCAAACAAATCTCAAACAAATAATGAAGCTCCCTCATTATCTACAGGGGTTTTTTTAGAAGCAAAACAAATACGCAGCAATTTAATGGTCTCCTTATGGAAAGGATTGACTCCAGTAGTTTGGCTTGGAAATTCTTCTGACCAGGAGGTAACCTAAAAACATATTCTCAGCATTCAGTTAGCAGTACCTGCTTCTCAGGAAGCCCTAGGAGACTGGAAGAGCCTGGGTATCTACTAAACCACCTTGTTCGCACAGGGTCAAACTGGTTGCCAGCCTATAGTTATTAATCATCCCTGTTTTAGCACCCTCAGGCTGATAGAGGGGAAAAAGCAAGGAGGAGAGGGCTGTGCCCTCCAGTTTTCAGTGGGGCAGAAGGTCAGGGCCCATCTGAGCTACTTGGACTCTAGCAACTCTGTTTCTCTGTTAAGCAGAGGTATGTAATAATTCCTGTGTGATGATTTTAGGCACACCAAATTAAAAACAACACAACAGCTTCATCAACCTATTAGTCTAAAGAGGAAATATGCAAATTTGAAGTGTATGTCACCAAGCTGAACTGGAATACCCATCTCATTTGTGCAACTAAAACACAAGATGGAAAACATTTGAATAGGTTAATATTTCACTTGAAATGAAGGCTTGAATGATGAAGCAACAATGGAAGCTTGCATTTCTGATAGGAGTTAGAAATCTTGTGAAACCAAAATCAGAAATAAGATACAAAGAAAGTGAGAATTAATTGAAATTACCTCTTGAAATTACAGGTGCACCGTTTTAAATGCATAAATATAACACAGCTTGACTCTCAGTTATTCATGTTGATGGGAGGGTGGCATAATCTGAATAAAACAAAACCACAACCAATACAAGACATGCAACAAGAGAATACACTCACATTTGGAAAGCACAGCAGCCTCTAGATTCCCCAGAGAGCAGCACTAATAGCAACAGGAAAATGGGAACTGAGCTAAACTGCCCTCACACTGCATCACTCATTTCTGCAGAACAGTGCATTGCAAAGTAGGACCAGTCACAGCCCAAACCCAGGACTTATTAACAGTTTCTAGGTGTGCATATATGTATATTAAATAAATATATATTTTAATGTTGTCATCTCCTTGTAGATATCAAAGCTGTCTTAAGATAATCACTTTTTTATGCATCCTGGGTTGCTGTTACAGTCAGTGTCAGCTGAACTGTTGGTGCTTTCACCCCTCACACATGTACTGCAGCCTCTACTTGACAGAGAATTTTTAAGTTTATTCCACAATATGGGAAGTCAGCAAAGTTTTATGACCCTGCATATGCAATGCAAACCCACATTGTTTTCTTCTGATTTCAACTAATTATTTGAGAAAGTATTACTTCAGGGTCAAATCCTGAACACATTAAAGCCAGTTAAACCCCTAATCTGTTAGAGTAGGGTCAAATATTGAACATATTGGAGTCAATGAAAATTGTCATTCACCTCTCTCTAGAATTTTTTGGTTTTTAGTTGAAAAAAGCAATCTAAGATTAAATACATTTTATAATTAGCCAATTATGCCTTAGAGTTTCTTCTAGAAATTTTAGCAGAGGCAGCACAAATCTCTGGTGGTGTCCTAGAACTTGTGAGAAAAAGCTTTCATGGAGACGGAAAATCCACCCAGGCAGAAGATGGATATTTGCTAATTAGGGTAATGGTCTTGCTTCTTTAACTTACAGAAATATAATGTATGGATTTGCTAGGCATGAAATTGGTTAAGTACAAAATCTCATTACCAATGGAAAAGTCAGCATCAACATTGCTATGTAGAAACCTCATAGAAAAATAAGGCTTCTCCACATCTGCAAAGAACTTCACTTTCTGCCAGTGAGCATATATCCAATGCTATCAAGCAAGTTATTTCTTAAAATTGAGTATAAACAATAAATGGGAAAGACATGAATTCATCAGTATGGAGTGAAAACCAGAGCAGCTGGCACCTTCCCATGTTCCAGGCAGGTAGCACTAGTGATACTTTCCAACAAGGTACATGCTGTGGGAAGGCTCAAAGACATCTCTCATTTTTTCTTCATTTCAATTTTGAACAAAGATTTTGAATTTCTATCCTGTGCAGTTCCAGTAACAGACATAAACCAAAAAGGACTTGAAGAAGAATTGCAATTTTGTATAACAAAAGATTCAAATTACTTTGTGCATTTTTAAGCGTGATTGCCTCCTCTAGTAGCTGTGTCCTTGCTCTAACTGAAAAGATAACCAAGGACTGAAGTCCTTCAATAGAGATGGCTTTCATCAGAAACCAAGCTACTCATGGGATTATAGCTTTAAAAAGGATCCTTTCCATTGATCACTGAGAAATGCTGTCCCTAGGACGGGAAGAGATGAAGAATTGAAGTGGAAAGGAAGGAAAAACACATGGAAAGGGAAAAGGAAATTGCCCATGGCCTTAGGACATGAACAAGAGTAATAGCTCTTACTACCTCTACATCTGCTTGTAATAGGGACCAAGTACTGGTTTAGAAATGTTCTTAAGTTAGGAGCATTTTACAGAAAACATTCAGGTCTGGATCTTCAAGAATATCTGGACAGTATTCTGAGTCTGGTATTAAGAAATCTTAATTTTAATGTGAATTAGAATCATCTCAGTATTTTGAGTCGCTCATCCACTCTTCATTTTCTGTATTGTGCCAGAAGTTATATTTCCATAAAACATTATCTTGTGCTTGTGATTTTCACTCAGGTATGATTGCAGAAGTCACAACTCGAGAGTTTGTACTTCTGTGAATTCATTCATAACTCATTTCACATGATGGCATTGGAATTTAAGTTCAGAAGCAGATCCCACTCAAAATTTTGTTTTTAAGAATGGCAGCTCCTGCTTAGCTGAGCTGCTCCCCAGGTGGACTGGAGCCAAATTTACTTGATTGGCTGGATTCCTGCTTTTTCAGGAACACACTGCTGTAAGTGTAACTGCCCTTCTCAATGAAGTCCTGAAGGAGCCAGCAAAAGCCTCATTACCGGCCCGGCCCGGGCGGTACCTCCAGAGCCGCGTAGCTGAGCACAGCCAGGGAGGCGCAGGCACGGCTCCGTGCCCCTCGATGTAGGATAAATCCACACCTCCCACTCTCTGCAGCCCGGAGACCTGCGGGTCCTTCTGCCGCTCCTCGGTGTCCTCCTCCACCACTCTGGCCCTCAGCCGGGCCTGCTCCCTGCGGGACCGCCGTGCTCAGAGCAGGGCCGCTCCCGGGAGCCGCCTGCCCGAGCCCCCGTCCCGCACGGCGCCCCGTTCGCTCCCCGGGGAGCCGCCAGATCCCAACCGGGGCACGGAGTCCCGGCGGCTCCGTGGGTTCCCCCCGCTTTGTGGGGAGGCGGTGCCGGGGGCAGCCCCGGGCGCGGCCGGGCCCGGTTCGATCCCCGCTCCCAAGGGCGCCGCCGGGCGGTCCCCAGGGCCCGTCCCAGCCCGAGCCCCGTTACTGCTCTGTGAAAAACGCCAATCACTCGTTTTTTAAAGTTTTAAAAGTTTAATAGTAATGAAATGGTTATAAAAATTGCAATATAATTAGAGCAATAAGAATTTTGGACAATTTGGATTAGGACAATATGAGAGAACAGAAACAAAGAGTTACGGACGTCCAGGTACCTTTTTCTGGGCAAAATAAGCCCGAAAAAGGACACCCGTTACCAGAGGATTAACCCTTAAAAACAACAGCCTGTTGCATATTCATACACTTCATACATGATGCATAAATTCCATTCAAACACAGGATTCTGTCTGGTCATCGTCAACTTCTTCCTCTTAATCCTAACGTCATAGCTGAGCAAGGTGGGAAGAAGTTAGTTTCTTCTGATAATGGGGCAATAAATTCTCTTTTTCTGAAACATTTAGGTGTCCTGTGGCTGCTATCTGGTGTGAGTACTTCATTCCTTTCTTTAAAAAAATATCCCACATACATAGTTTCTATTTAAGATTGTTATAACCTAAAACTACATTTGAGAAAATTAATACAGCATAACTTTATAACATAACACATATAATATTCATCCTAATATTTGCAAAAAGCCAATAATAAAATATGCATTTTTCATATTCATGTTCTTCCAGTGGCTCTGGAGCTGTGGCGATCCAGGGTTCACACTGAGTTGCTGGGTCTATTTCACCCTCCTCCTCCTCCACAGCCACTCTCCTCTTCACATCAGGTGTAAAAACAACAACCCCAAACCCAAAGAACAACCAACAAGGCCCAAACAAATGCCCAGATTCCCAGAAGCCCTGACATGGGTGTTGTGGCATTCCCTGGCAGGGTTCTGTCCTAACTGCCCCTGTGCTCCCTCTTGAAGATAGCAGCTGCTTTCCAGGTACAAGCAGCATGAGACAGAAGAATATCATCTGGGAATGTGTCTTCCACCTCCGCAGCAAATTCAGAGTCTTTGGCATCAAGGTAAGCAGAGAGCGATTCCTTCAGGCTGGAAGACAGAGCAGAATGGCATTAACAGCAGGGATAGAGCAAACCTCAAGTGCCACAATATGAGTGCACTGCAGCACCCAAAATACTCAATACACAACTGAACAGGGGGGTGTGTGTGTGTGTGGGTGTGTGTGTGTGTGTGTGTAGTGAGAAGGGTTGAACAGCCAGGTGGAGGCACAGAGGCCAGCAAGGGGATGCTGCAGGGCACAGCTGAGCTCTGGGGCTGAGCTGTACCTGTGCAGAGCTGTGTGCCTATCCCTGAAGGCTGGCCTTGAGCACCATGGAGATTTTTTTTCCAGCCTTAATGAGTTTGTGATTCTGTTATTTTTTTATCCAAGTGCCTGCAGAAGTGCTGGTGTTTGTGCCCTGACAGCAGATCCTGGCGTGTTCCAGCAGTGTCCCCAAGAGAGCCTGTGTGAGATGGAAGTGACACCTGCCAGAAATGGGTGTGGATATTCCTAATGCTGCTGCCTGAGCAGTGTCCCCCAGGACATGCATGTGCCAAGGGAGTGTTCCCACTGTGTGCATGCTCAGAGGCAGAGAAGCGTCAGTTAGCAACAACTATGGTGCCTTTGGGTGTGTAATTCCTACCTCCACGCAGGATTGAATTCCTCCACAGCTTGGACATGTCTCAACTTCAGGATGATCATTTCATGGAGCTCCTGCAGGAAGGTTTCCAGGCTGGAGTGGACCAGGAAGGTGTGCAGGAGCATGACAAGCTCTGGGGTGAGCTCTTCTTTGTAATCACGACTGACATCTGCAAAAGGATCCTGAAAATGCAGCAAGGGGAGAAAAAACCCAAAGACACATTTGAACAGCTGCAGGCAGAGCAGAGCAGGACAGAGCAGAGGAGGGCACACAGAGGTGCTGGGGGTGCCATACCCTGCCGAGGCGCAGCAGCTGCTCAGATTTGTGGGCACACAGGAGCTGCCACAGGGCTATGCTGTGCCTGAGCTGGCACCGTCTGAGGGCCTGGAAGAGAAGGACATCTGTGGATGTGAGGGATGTCCTCGGAGCCCATCCCCAGCCTGCCCTGCCCAGGAGAGCTCAGCACAGAGCTCATCCAGCCCCTTGGCCTGGGTGGAGCCCATCTGCCCTCAATAAGCCAGCTTTTGATACCACAACAGGCAGTGGGAAAGTGAGAGGGCTCTGTCGCACCGGCTGGATTTAGCATAAACCAGGGCAAATTTTACTCCACAAGAATCCGAGCTTTGCCCTCAGGACTCACCTGTAGCACGTGAGGGTTTGTCTGATCTCCCATCTGCAGGACTTGCTCAATGTACTCAGTCAGCGGCATGTCAGCGTTCTCACCAGCCATGGCCAGGAAGTGCAGGGTAATCTCAGTGACGGACAGAGCATCACACACATCACTGTAGGACTGCAGCTCCCCACTGATCATGTTCATCACAGAACTGGGCAGAGTACTCTGAAAACCACAAAGTCACAGTTAATATTGTTTTAGACCCACTCCTTTTTCTGTTCCAATTGCTCAAGTCAAGGGAGACAACAGAGCCCCAGATTTAGGAAACTGAAATGCTGAACTATCTCCTTCTCTTTGTAAATCCTGACTGACAGCACAAGGCCAGATTGCACGTACCCAAGGCATGCTAAGAAATCAGCAAGCAAGCTTTGGATGGACAAGGCAAGACACAGAAAACCCTTGCAAAAGCAGGGATTTCATGCTTGCTCTGCCTTCCTGCAGTGCAGAAACTCACCTGCTCCAGCTTGTTCCTGAGCTCACTGAACAGCTGCTCATTGTTTCGGTCATGTCTGTACACCAGGGTGGGGATTCCCTGTCAGGAGAGAAACCCATGGATGTGAGGCCTGGAACGCTGCTCCCAGTGCCCTCCTGGCTGCATGGCCCTGCCCCTCCTACCTCTAGCCTGATGAGTGGCTTTCCCTGCAGGAACTTGCTGATCACTTGCTGCTGGATCCTCTCCAGATCAAAGTCCTGCAAGGTCTCCCCTCCCTTCTCCATGCTGTACTGGCAGTTGGACAGGATCAGAGGGATCAGGTCCCTCTCCACCTCGTAACTGATCAGGTGCAGGTTGGCCACTTCCAAGGGGCTGACCTGGTACCTGCAGGGAGCAAAGGGCCTGTGTTCAGAGGGAGAGGCCTCTGTGGAGCAAGGAAAGCTGCCTGAGAGGGAGCAGGGGATGCAGCAGAGCCCAAGGAGCAGAGTAGCAGCACACCTGTCATCCTCCTTGGTGTCTCTGATGACAGAGTATATGAAGTCGTTGTGCAGCCCGATGAGGTAACTGGCCAGCGCCGTGGAGCACAGCCCCAGCCCCTGCCGCCGCGGCAGCAGCACCTCCAGCCTGCTGTCCAGGCTCAGCTCGGCATCACAGTAGCTTTTAGGCAGCTTGATTTCCCCTGAAATACAGACAGCAGTGTTTGAGGAGGCCCAGAGCCAGCCCAGGCTGAGGAGGTACTGAGCTGAGAAAAGCCATGCACTTGGCATTAGGGACAAGCACAAAAGAGAACAAGTTCAGGTGAGAAAGGAAACAAGTTCAGGTAAGAATACTACAACAGGGAAACAAATCCCTCCCTTGTACCTACATTCTTAAAATTCAATGGCCAAGCCCAATTTTGAGGATATGCCTCAGCATCAGTGATGGGAGGAACCTGAACTCAGAATGAGAAGCAGTGGAGGAGCAGGGCTGGGAAAGAAGCTGCTCACCATTGGTGTCCAGGGAGCATCTCAGCTTATTCCAGACAGACAGAAACACATTCACTCTCCTCTCCAACAGGTCCCTCATCACACCTGAGAAACAACAGAAAGATAAATCCATGAAACACCTTTTCCTGGTGAAACTTTCCAATGCAGGGATCTTCAGAGCACACCACTGAACTCCAGGCAACTGCTCCAACTGCTCAAGAGACTAAATAGACACCAAACACCTTTCTAAAGGCATCAAATGGAGTCATCTGCTCAGTTTGTTACTTCTCCATTATTGTCTGCTTCTGGCCCAGGCCACAAGGATGGATTGGTCCTTGGTCTGATTCTGCATGACCTTTATGTACTTTCCCATAAGTACTTAAAAACATCAGTAATTGCTCTTTAAGCAAGCCCTGCTCTAGGGCTGAGCTTAAAATGCCAAAAGAACCACTGCTGTACTGCACAAAGCTCTCATCCCTCATAAAAAATCTCCTGTACTTAATTCCCTTTAAAGTCATCTGGTAACTTTTCCAACCCTATTCAAGTCTCCAGTTCAGTCAGGCAAGAATTAAAAGGAAAAGGAGAATTTTCCTCTTCACTTTCAACAAGACAATCCAGCATTTTCTGTTTCATTAATTACAACTTTGGCAGAGTCTCCTCACCTGAGTGGGGTTCCCTGAGGAATTCCCTGATGGAGCAGTCTTTGATTTCTGCTGTGTTCTGGAATTGCTTCACCAAATCTTTCTGCAGAGCCAGAATCTCTGGTAGGAATTTCACCAGCCTCAGCTCGCTTTCCTGGATAAAGTGGGTAAAGCTGTGCTTGGACAAACCAGTTGGAAATACCTTTATGGAATTACTTTTAAAATTTTTAAAAGACAACAATATCTGCCATGTTCATTCTCAAGATCATAGCAAGTACTGAGATAATCCATGATTTAGTCCTGGGCAATCCCAGGCTCTCATCCCTGTGCCAGCCCCACCTTCTGCAGGAACTTCCAGAGGAGAGGGACGGTGTCCTTGGCATTCTTCTGCTGCACAATGTGGCTCAGGTTCTCCACTGAAACCTTCCTGCGGCAGCTCCACATCTTGGAATGGTGGATATGGCTGTTCTGTGGCAGCTGGGACAGGAATGCAGCTGGGTCCCCATACACTATTTTCACTATGGGGTTGGAAGAGATTCTCTTATCCTTTTGTATCTGTCGGTTTAACTTCAGAAGTTTTTTATCCAAATCCTGCATTTAAAAAATAATAAGTTATTGGATATTGTGAAATACCTTCAAAAGAGCTAAGCCATTTCTGCTTTTCCAGCTATACAAATTCATCCCAGAACAACTTCAGTCTCAGGCTCCCATTTCCCCAGGTGGAATAAAGATGGCTAATCCTGAACCTGCAGCTGTGCCATGGATGGGCTGGCTTTAGGAACAGCCAGGTGAAAAGTATAGCACAGATATTACAACACATGAGATTTCCAGTGGATTTTGAACTGCTCAGCTACTGACTCTGTATAGCAGATTTCTCACCTTCAATTCAGGAACAATAATTGTGCTTGCAACAATTTCTTCCCATTTGTTTCTCTTGTCCTTGGTGGACAGAAAGTCATCAAACCACACCAGCCCTGCAACAGGAATATTTCACCTCTTATATCTGCAGTATTTCAGTGAAAACAAAGCAAAGATTCACAGGTGCTATAAGTTAACTGAGTATCTTGGTTCAGCTGGAGAATGACACCCAAGCATCACACAGTGATGCTTGGTTTCCAGGAGCTTCACATGAATGATGGAGACATTTACACAATTCCTTCATAACCCCAAAAATATTGAACAGATTGTCCAAGCTCAGACCATGTCCCACGACAGAGTGAAGCTTGGAATACTGACTGGTGCTGTCCCACAGTCCAAATATGGGCTATTTACACATTAATGCCTCTGTGCCACAGTGACTCCAGACCCCACCATGAACCCCACTGTGCCATCCCTCTTCTCCCAAAGAGCTCCTGGGAGTCACTGAGAGGCAGCTCAGAACAGGGATTCACAACAAGGTGCTGTGCTGGGGAGCAGCCCTGCTCAGAAGCTGCAAGCTCTGCCCATCTGTCATGACACTGTTTTTTCAATAATTCATTTTCAGAGTTATCGACTGCACCAAACCTTGCAAA